AAAAAAAAAAAAAAGAAGAAGAAGAAGTAGCAGCTGGCAAGGAGTGGGGCTGCCTATGGGCAGAGGCCTTGGTGAGTATCACCACCCAGAAAGGCAGTCCAGAGTAGGGAACAGCTGAATGTGCTCAGGACCTAGCTGCCCTAGCAACACTGGGCTCTAGAAAAGGAGTTTCTGTCTTACAATAAAGAGCAAAGTGAAAAGCAAGGTGGAACTTGGAGATGTATCAGGAAAATCTTCATAAAAGTCTGGTTTATGTGTGATGTCAAATTAAACTGAAATGAAGACTGAGATTGAGTGTATCTGTGATGACTTCTATCTGCATAGTGGAAATCCCAATGTCCCTATAAGAGGAAATAAAAGCTGCTTTGCACTCTGAATGGCTAAATGTCTGAATCTTGTGAGTGAGGTCTAGAGACAGATTTGTGATTCACTGGCATAGAAGTCATCATTGAAACCAAGGAATGTGTATCATGAAGAAAAGCCAAGAGGGCTGGGTGCAGTGGCTCATGCCTATAATCCCAGCACTCTGGGAGGCCAAGGCAGGTGGATCACTTGGGCTCACGGGTTTGAGACCAGCCTGAGCCAGAGCGAGACACCACCTCTAAATATAGTGGGTATTGTGCCTATAATCCTAGCTACTAGGGTGGCTGAGGCAAGAGAATTGCTTGAGCCCAGGAGTCTGAGGTTGCTGTGAGCTATGATGTCACAGCACTCTACTAGGGCAACAATGTGAGACTCTGTCTCAAAAAAAAGAAAGAAGGAAAAAAAGGAAAAGAAAAGCCAAGAAACAAGCCTAAGAGATGCACTATTCTAGACACATCTAGAGATGGGCAGCTCAACTCTGTGAGGTCCTGAAGCAACTCTGAGTCCCAGCCACGGATCCTAGATATGCCATGATCCCAGCTTCCCTACTGGTAACAACACCCGCTTCTGTGTCCTACCAAACAAAGATCTCCTACTACACTAAATCCCTGACTTTTTTTTTTTTTTTTGAGAGAGTCTATGTCGCCCTCAGTAGAGTGCTGTGGTGTCACAGCTCACAGCAACCTCCAACTCTTGGGCTTAAGTGATTCTCCTGCCTCAGCCTCCCAAGCAGCTGAGACTACAGGTGCCTGCCACAACACCCAGCTATTTTTCTGTTGCAGTTGTCATTGTTGCTTAGCTGGCCCAGCTGGTTCAAATCTGCCAGCCTCGGTGTATGTGGCAGGCGCTGTAGTCAGAAGCCTGAATTTTCTTGAGCAGAGGTCACTGTCTCCAGCTTCAAATCCTCTTTCTCTTCATCTGAGTTTATTTTCCTTTAGTTTCAGCCTTTTCTTTTGGCCCAAACTCCCTTCTTCCTGTCCCCTAATTTGTTCTTCCTTCTCGAGAATCTCTATGTCCTATAAGAGTGTGGTCATTACTCCCAGCCTGAAGGTAGCTGGCCTCCCACAACTGCTAATGCCATAGAAGCAGAATTGCTTTAATGTGGAATCTGCCTGGCCGTCTCTTATCCCACCTTATTGCCATTCCTCAGGCTGATCTGTTTTGGTTAAGTCAAAAGTACAGTCTAAGGCAGGCATCCTCAAACTACAGGCCGTGGGTCTCATGCAGCCTGCCTAGGACATTTATCCGGCCCGCTGGGTGTTTTTGCTGCCGCTGCCTGTCCTGCTTAGCAGCCGACTCATCCCAGGGCCCTCAGTCTGGCCCTCCAGCGGTCTGAGGGACAGTGAACTGGCCCCCTGTTTTAAAAGTTTGAGGACTGCCTAGCCCTTGATATCTAGGGTACAGGGACATAGGAAGGGGTAAGAAGGAGACTTCAGGATATGCCTGGAAGAGGGAAGGAGAATTAGAACCAAGAAGAGTCAGGGCCCTTGAAGGCTGCACAAAAAGTACTATTTATCACAGCACAGAAGTGAGCCATCATCCCACTTTATTTCCAACTTTAGGACTGAGCAGAGAGAAGGTTCAGAGATTTGTTTACAGGGAATGAAAGTGGGAAGACAGCATAACCAGGCAAACCAGGTAATCTAGACACACCTTCCCAGGTAAGCAAACCAGAAAGCCTGGAGCACGAGGCTGGAGAGCAGAGCATGGGGGTGAGGAGACATTTGTGGAGAAGGAGTCAGGACCCCAAGATATGTGTCCATGAGCTCATCCAGGACAGAGAGGACACTGAGGTGAAGGAGACCCCTTCCTCATGCTCTCTCTGCCCCAAGCCCTTACTGAAAGGGAGAGGGAAGCCTGTCCAGAGCCTCAGGCAGCCCATACACTTTAGACATTTGCAGTAGGAATAGGGAGGGCATGGAGGCAGAGCCACTTAGGACATGAAAGTCACAGTTGCAGTATACACAGAGGGCCAGTCACTGGAGGAGCTTGACATAATTTGCAGGGAAGAGTCCAAAGTGACCATGGCAACGCCCCCGCCACCAGCCTTCATCCACCATCTCGATGTCAGTGATGATGTCATCTGGATCAAAGGAAAGCTCATCACTTCCTTCTGCAGAAGAAGTTGAGGGGATGTTAGGGATGGCCAGCTGCAAATCCCCCCATCTCCAGAGGCACCAGGCCCCTCAGGCCACTCCCACCTACCTCCTTGGTAATCATACAGAGCTATAGCTGAGATGCCCATGGCCCCAGGCGGGCAATCTGATGATCCTGTGTAATAAGAAATATGAACATGGTCTCACCACCATGGAGAAGGCAATGGAGAAATTCTTCTTCCTCTCACTCCTCTTCCCCAGACCTGTCCAAATCCAGGAGCTGCTTCTCCTCCCACCACTCACCAGCCATGGCAGAAGGAAAATGGGACTCCTCAGGCTCAAGCACATCCTCATAATCCCCATCTGTGTCTTTGTCCTGCTCATGCCTGTCCATCTCCGCGATATCCTCATAGTCATTCTCAGGCTCAGGCTCAGGTGCCTCTTCATACACTGGTTCTTCCTCCAGCTGGAAGACTTCCGGAGTCCTAGGGGGCAGAGCTGGGGGCTCCTCATTGTCCTGGAAAGAGACAGTGTGGAGTTGGGTGACCTCCTCTCACCAGGAGGACCCAGTGGTTCTAGGACCTACCCTTCACCATCCTCCCTCCTCTCTCCTCCACCCTTGCCTCCACCTATAGCCTCTCCTAGAGAACACGGTCTCATCCATTTCTCAAACTCCTCCCACACCCACTCAAAACACCTACCCAAAGACGATGGGAAGAGAATGTAAGAGATGTAAGGAGAGGGAGGTGGAAGGCAAATCAGATTCCTTGGGAGACCCAGAAGACATTGAAGCAAAAGCACATTGCTGAGACACCCCAGCTGGGATAACCAACTCTCCTGGCTTGCCCAGGACTGAAGAGTTTCCCAGAATGTAGGATTTTTAGTGTTCAGACCAGAAGAGTTCCCAGAAAACCAGCCTGTGGCTCCAGTGGCTAAGGCACCAGCCACATACACCTAAGGTGGTGGGTTCGAATCCAGCCCGGGCCC